AGTGGGCGGGGTTTAGAGTTGAGGGGCGGAGCTTCTTCTAAACTTCTTCTCCGATTTTTATTTATCCATCCATCAAGTTTGAGGGGTGACTGCATGCAATTTCATTTTTTTTGCATTCATTCCAATTCATTTTTCACCGTTAAATTAAACCGCTCTTATCTATGGGATTTTAGGGTAATCTTTTCAATGATGTGAGTATCTTCTAAATTTTTTGTTTGTAGATAGCTTGTAAGGCATATTGGTAGCTATACTTCTCAGCATGTGGTTCTTCTTCAATATGTAATTATCAATCATTGACCACATGCACATTACAAAAACTAAGATGCTCACAAAAAGACTCATATGAAACACCACATGTTCAACACAATGAATTAACTACAGATTTTGAGTCAGAAAAATCCTCTAGTCAGCGCAGTGTACCAGTAACGCATTTCTGACTTGTTTTCATCGCATAAAATGGTGATTTCTAAGGATTTTTTTATGACAACTGAATGGCAAACATTGATGTAGATTTGCTATTTTTGTTTTAGACCAATCTGCCGGCAAATGTCCTTATTTGATTTTCTTAGTAGGAGTACAATGTTGCGTCCTTCCAATAAACCAATTTCAATTTTATAGCTTCGATTCCGGCTTGTGTACATACCACATGAGAAAAACTTGTTCGTTCCATTTTGCTTTTTGCTCTCCTAAAGCTTAGGATCATCGTCTTAAACAAAAATATTTAGTTAATCCATACTGCAATGTTTTGCAGCTTACTGCGTCTGCTAGCCGCTATGAATATGATGAAAATAAAAAAATTAATACTTTTATCAAAACTCTCTACAAATTTTATTGAACCCGAAAATCTTGTCAATTCAGTTCGATCAGGCTACTGGGAAAAGTTTTAAGAAGATACCTTAACGATCATCAAAAAGATTTTTTTCACATTTTTACTATCACATGATACGCTGAGCCAATCAGTTGTTTAGTATAGAGAAAGAAAAAGCTGGAGAAATTACACTAATCCATGTCAAAGCTAATAAAGAATAGAATTACACTGATGAAATTTCGTTCTCCGTAATGCATGGATCTTCTTCAGCTCTGAGGCCAGTCCATGTCGATGTTACGACTGCATTTTAGCTTTCGCATAGATTCTTTTGACCGGGTTTTTCCGAATCTTCTGAAGTATCAGATCCGCCTATGGATAAATTTCCTTTTCCCTTTTACCTCACTCATTTCTGACTACAAAAGGAAATCATCAGTGTAAAGAACTAGCAGCAACAGAAATGCATCCAGCATAGATACATTCGAATACATCCGCTCAGATTAAATTGCATGAGCTAAGTAAACATTTTTCAATCTTTCTTTGGTCGAATTTTGATGTAGTGGATTTACCGAGGGAAGTGCCCAGTTTTCATCTTTGCTTTCGCAAAAAAAAACTTGTGTCTAACTTTTTTGAAATTTTGCTTCTTGCATCAAAATTCTAAAAATTTCGTAGATTTTACTATACGCTATTAATCCGATCTGTTAGAACTAAAAAAGAAATTCTGTTCATGGTAAATCAATTTTATTGCAGGAATAGCAACTGATAAAGGCAGACACTTGCCATTTTTTTGAGTTTTCGTTGCCAGAATGAGCTAAATTCTTTACTCATAGGTATTTTAGGTTATTATCATATTAGCTGCTCTGAAAGGTCGTTCCCCGCTCCCTTTTTTTAATTTCGTAAATGTTTGATATGTTCATGATTTGTGTCATAAATTCAATCAATATGGTAAGTCATGGGTTTCTAATTTAAATCACCATGTTCGTGCTAAGCTAAGTTACCGTTTAAAGCTATAAAAGGAAATCTTGGAAAAAGAATTGGTGTATTTATACCTAACTAAATCATATTCAGCATTTGAAAATTGAAGAAAATTTTATTGAAGGTTTTGACCCGCCGTAGCAGCTCAATTCATTCTTGAAAAAAATAGTCAGAACTCCATTCAGGTTATCGTTTCGCAGATTTGGAAGATAGTATTCGAACCGGCATTAAAAGGCGCATTTTTGATAAACAAATCAGCATGAATGAACAGGGTCACCAAGTGTCTTTTTTTTGTTAGCTGTTTTCTTCTAAAGAACGACCAGAGATAAATGTGCGGAAAGAAGTTTACCATATTGATTTTGAAGCTCATCAAAAATTTGGAAGCGCATCAGAACAGTCATGAACATATATTATTCATAAACTTTTTTACTTTTTGAAGAACTATTGCGAGTCTCGTGTTTTAGGAGTTACGATTTTTAGAAAAAAATACAAAACTGGCTGATCCTAATTTATTAATTATCTTGAAAAATCATAACTATTTATCCTTCAAGGCTGATGTGAACGAATTTTCCGACCAGCTTCTTAAAAGCCAGTACTTTTACGATGAAAAATAAATTTACAGAAAGAAACGGTTCATAACTTATTTACGAATTTTTCGGGGTTCTGGTGCAAGAGTTGTTTTCCAAATTGATAGCTATGCAAGTCTTCGGGCCTTATGTTCCAGCCATCATCAGGGAATGACCTCAATTCAGAACAAAATCTTAAGCCGAATATTTCAATCAGCTATGCTCTTCACTTTTTATAAAATAAGTTTCTATAAAAGCAAAAAAAAATACTCCAATGCAATAAGCAACTTTTTTTCGTCGTAACTGTGCTGATGAGAGTAAGAAAGCACGCGAACGTTCACACTGAAAAAACGGCACGAGTGCCAATAAAAAGCGATTTTCCCATACGGTTTTCTCTTAAAGCCGCTTTCGTTTTGTCAATTTTTCAACATTCTTACCCAAAATTCGTCAGTCAACTTCAGCTTATGTGCTTGGTGTACATTTCAAAACTCTTACAAAAAAAGATAACAAGGAAGTTTGACACCTGACTGCTGTAAATTCTAGAGACTTCTCTCTTACACCATTCTCAATAAAAAATTTGTTTATGGACTATGGGACGGCTTCTCTGTTTGTAGCTTAAGCCTACCCAATATTTCGTTTACGTTGATGGATGACGTGTTTTCGCTCATAATGGAATTTTTTTCGTTGATGCATAATTCACCCCCGATCTCATGGAATCCCGCCCCACTCTCTAATATGCAACCCAGTTCCATAAATATCCAAAAACCATCAGGATATGTGCGATCTTTTTGGCAATTTTCAAAGCTTTCATAGTTATGATAGGACCATCATCCGTCAAAAATACATGTGTCCGTCATGTAAGCCGACAACAGTGCTTATGATGTTTAAGATACAAACGTAATGTTTTAGAAACAAACATTGTTGAAGCAGTATTAAGATTTATTGCTGTAATCTGATACCAGGAAGACTTTTCTCCATACAAACCTCTTATGTGAAATTCTTTGCTAGGCTATCTCAAAAATGAATCGCTTTTTACTTTTTACATTTCTCTTATTCGCGCTTTTTCTTTCAGTCATGCTATAGTGATCAAGTAAATTGGTGTAAATTAGCATAGCATTTTTTACTCTTTGGAATTCTTCTTGTGGTCGATTTACCGTTTAGAGGACTTGCACTCTAATTTTCCCATATGGTCAACCTACCATTCAAAGGATTTCCACTTTTTTAGCATTTTTTCTTGAAAAAAGCAAGTTTCGCAACTTAACTCACGCGATTTATGAATCTTTCTGCAACAGAAGTAGTGAAATACAGGACCCATCCTTCTTTTGAAACAGCAAAAAAAAACGTGAAAAAGGCACGAAATGCAAATAAATAGTGCCAGCAGAAGGAGAAGTTTAAATGTACTATAATTATGTACCACTGACGTACCCAGATTTCCGCTCGGGGGGGGGGGGGGGGGGGAGGGGGGGTGGGGACAAAAAAATTTTTGAATGAAGGTACGTGGCGTTAGCCACCACTCCGAAAAATTTTTAGGAGTGCTTCTCAAAATTTTTGCGGGTCCCCAACTTCTAAAATCCGGAAAAAGGAGGCATGGCATCAGCCACGCCCCCGAAAAAATTTTTCACAAGGCTAACTTAAATTTTTAAAAACTTTTTAGAAAGTGTTTTAATTATTTACAAAAATAAACAATTCACTTGCACATTTTTATAACCCATACAAGTAACTTTGAAAAATTTCGCGACCCATTTTCCGGGGGGGGGGGGGGGCGTATATGACAAGTTTCATTCCTAAATCCAAATATCGTATCATTAACCCTACGAATACAATTAGAAGATGGAAACTACGTAAACGGGATAGCTTTTTCTGTGAGAACTTTTGGAGGGTAAAAGTTTGATGAGGAAATGTGATGTTTATTCACGCCATCTTTGACTTTTCATATGGAAAGAAAAAAGTTATTTCGCGACCTTAACGTCATACGAGCTTATCGTCTTTCCATATTGAGGCTGTGGATCAATTAAAAAGAAGTTCTCCAATTACGCAAGAATTTCAGAGGAAGGCTAGATTCTTCTTATGTGAAGCACAGTATGTATTTGCTTTATCCCTAAAAATAATCAAGATGGCTTCAGTCTCTCCTAATCTTTATTGCTACCATGAAAACTACCACCACTTTCCCAACAGCTACTCAAAAATCTAAATGTGTAAAGCGTTTAGCACTTTGTATTTCTGTGACTAAAAAAGTAACAGGACAACAAATATGTTGCAATTTTCTCGAAATTGATATTTAGTACTGGTTTCGTTGCGAAGGATTTCAATGTAGACAAATTTGATTTGATGTTTCACTGAAATATCGATTTGCCTGTCTATCATATCTTAATGATTCTTCTGGCCATCTAGTTACCCGACTCCTCCTTCTGTGATTGACTTAAGATTGAATTTAGACTTCACAAGTGAGGCAAATCTCTAATCAAATAGGGTTTCAAGTCAGAATGCTCGCCTGCTTAACTCTCTTGCTTTTTCGTATTTCCATGGTGATTTTGGCACCTTATTCGACACTTCCGATTATTGCAATGTTTTTCATCTATCTTTGACGAATTCATGCTGTGTAAATAACTTTTCTCTATTATTTTCTCCACTACGACCACGCCTTATTTACGTTTAGTGGCAGCAGTAACAAGACAGTTCATCGTTGCTACATCGATTGCAATGTTTTACGAATCGGTTGTAATTGTTCTATTACTAGGGTTTGTTATTTTTTTGTGATCTACACGTATATTCTAGCTTTATATTTGATCTACCAATTTAGCTCCGGCTATGGAAATTCGCAAAGCGTAAGACGTACCACACCTCTGGCAAGACTTAGGTTTGTCCATCCTACAACGTAAGTTTTTTCCTCAAGAAATTTTTGAACTCGAAAGTCATTTCATCTTTTTTTGTTTGCGTTAGGCAGTGTTGGAAAGTTTACCCTAATTGTTATACTTGGGTCCGAATCGAATAGAAATTCGACCATTCGAATGAAACATTCGAATATATTCGTATTCGAAATTCGATATTCGGAGTTCTTCCATTTTCGAATAATATTTGAAACTCGAATGATTGAAAAAAACGGGGTTTCGAATAAAATTCGAAACTCGAATAATCAAAAAACAGAGTTTCGAATAAAATTCGAAAATTCGAATAATCAAAAAACGAGGATTCAAATATTATTCGAAAACTCGAATAATCAAAAAACGGGGTTTTGAATGGACTTCATTCGAATGTTTTATTCGAATGTTTATTCTAATTCGTATTCGAATGAACTCCGTATTCAGATTATCCGACTTTGTTGCAAAGCCAACTGCTGAGTATCAAGCTCACTTCGTCCGCGTTTTTTTTCGTAAAACTCGGTAATGCATCTTTTGCAACCGTTATGACCTTTGAACTGTGTGGAGGGTCGCAATCTTCCGACTGCTTGACAGGAGAAAAATCATATGCGGATTTTAATTTATGCTTTTTCGATCGATGAGATTGTTCGCATTGCTATTGGCACCAAATCAGCAAAGAAGCTATCAAATTCAAGCTCATGTTCCGAGTTCATATATTGAAAGTGTTTGAAATGCCTGTTCTTCTTTCTTTGCATTGCTCATGCTTGACGCAGTGCCCACACTAGTGAGCACTCTTGCTTGCATAAGTTATATTGCACAACTGCCTCAACGAGATGTCTTTGTAAGGCCAGCTTACCACAAATGTTTAGCGTGTACAACTTACCAAAAAGATAAATGCCCTGCATTCTGTACTTTCAAAATAAGTTTTGAACAATTTGACGATTGCCAAACCACGTCGCCACTGAAATGCCTGCAGTATGCCCGGGGCTGTAGAGGCATTCGTGTCGCTTCGCGGAATAAACCACATGCCTTCGTCCACAACTAGCTTATACCACACAAGGGGGTGAGTGAGGGTGCTGATTATGGATAAAAACTTACTTTATCGATTTTTGGAGAAATTCTAACTGCGGGACTGGGAGTTGGTACAAGGGGGTAAGTGAGGGTGCCGATTATGAATAGAGATTTACTCTATCGATTTTTTCGATTTTTGGAAAATTTGGGCTACGAGGTTGGGAGTTGGTACAGGGGGTAGAGGGCTGATTAGAACCGAATCTATTCTCTCGATGTCAGCGATTTTTGGAAAATTCTGAGCTAGGATTCGATATAGGGGATACGAGGTTATTGTCGGGTTCAGCCAGATATGTCGGCAAGTTTGAGTTCTGGTCAGGGCCCGGCACGAGGTGGGCAAACGGGGTTTTCCAAAACGAATTCCCCTTTGATCCCAATAAATTTTACGAATACCCCCTTGAGCCCAACAATGACCCTTTGTGCTCGTGCAACGAAAATACCGGCCACATTTCGCCTAAAAGCGCTCAAAAGCGCCCAAAGTGCTCAAATTCCTCAAATTGCTCCTTAGCTGTATCAAGCTAGAAACAGGAAATAATATAAGCAAGAAAAATGATGAAGGAATGAGGAAATATCAAAGTAACGCAGTTATAGGAATGAGAGACGCCGTTCCCACGCGTATTGATTGACTGGGGCGCGCTTTCCATCTTAGAAAGCTAGGCTGTTGATGCGATTTTGGGCTCTAACAAGGACAAGAGGAGGAGTTTCGGAACCAAAATTTCACCATGTAGTAAACTTTGAGTGTACAACAGATTTATGTAAAAATTATGAAAAAATTATGTGAATTGAAAGTTTTGCCCACCTCAGGTGGGCATTAGGTGGGCAATTGCCCACCTAATTTGAAAAAAACTTGGGCTCGCTCTTCATTCACATAAGTTTTTCATAATTTTCCATACATTGTTCCTTAGTCCTACTGCGCGTATACACACCAAGTTTCGCGCGATTTCGTTTTCTCGCGCTGCAATCGAGCCATTTTTCGATTTTTTGATATTGAGAAATTTTCAGAAAAAAGCTTGCCACAACCTTTAGTCACATAGTTTTTCAATGAAACTTCTAAGTTAAGCCTTGCAGGCCTGTGTTTATGTATCTACCAAGTCTCATGCCGTATGGTCATCTGTGCGCTGCAAACGAGCCATTTGAATTCACATCTTCATTTACCAGTTTTGCAAAACTTTGGAAAAAATGCTTATTACTCCTCCCATTCACATAAGTTTTTCATAATATTTCATACTTTGTTTCTACTAGCTTCTCTTGTTTCGCTGGGTGTATGCCAAGATGAACGATAGCTGGAAATAAGCATACTGTACTCGTGCGGTTGTCAATATGCCGCGCCTAAAGTCTTATTTTTTGAAGCGATATGTTCTTCATTGGGTTGAAAATGGTGTCGAACAGTAAGAATAAGGCGGTACCGAGCTCCCAGCGTTTTTTCCAAAATTTTGAATATCATCATAGCGTAATTATAGAACCTAGAAAGTATCAGGTTGTCCCATAATTTCCGTCCGTTTAAATTTTCGATCGCAATAAGTCATGAACTTCTTGGTTTTAGACAGGTTGCTAGGTATCATTTGATAGAGCAAAGCAAGCTCTACAAGATGCGCTTTTCAATTTCGCATCATTTCAAACCCATCTCGAGTTTGAAGCCAAAAACCAAAACGATCCAACCGCCCGAAAAATTAAGAAAAAATCGTAACTCCGTTTAGAAAAATCCTAGAAAATTCCTAACTTGCTCACAGAAAGCCTATCCACATCAGACATTTACATATACTGTTGCTGTATTTTTTCCTTGAATAGAAGTCGAGAAAACGAAAATTTTCATGTTTTTGCCAAAGTGATGCTGTGCTGTTCTCACACTAGTAGTTGTATACTACAGACCAGTACAAGTACAGACACAAATTTTCAGCGCTCTATAGGCTTTAGTTCTCGAGAAACATCGAGTTTAGCTTCGTACAGTCGGGTGTCCCGTCTTAAAACGATTATTTCTCTAAAACTAAAGCCTGTAAAACGCTGAAAATTTATGTCTGTACTTGTACTGGTCTGTAGTATACAACTACTAGTGTGAGAACAGCACAGCATCACTTTGGCAAAAACATGAAAATTTTCGTTTTCTCGACTTCTATTAAAGGAAAAAATACAGCAACAGTATATGTAAATGTCTGATGTGGATAGGCTATCTGTGAGCAAGTTAGGATTTTTCTAGGATTTTTCTAAACGGAGTTACGATTTTTTCTTTATTTTTCGGGCGGTTGGATCTTTTTGGTTTTTGGCTTCAAACTCGAGATGGGTTTGAAATGATGCGAAAATGAGAAGCGCTTCTTGTAGAGCTTGCTTCGCTCTATAAAATGATACCTTGCAACCTGTCTAAAACCAAGAAGTTCATGACTTATTGCGATCGAAAGCTTGAATGGACGGAACTTATGGGACAACCTGATATTTGACCTACGCAGCGCATATGGCTGGCACAACCTATCGTTCATGTTGGCTGCCCCCCCCCCCCTTGTTTCGCTTACATAATTTGGTGCTATATCATTACGCCTGCATTGAGAACTGATCATGTAATCATGCTGTCCAACGGCATCGCTTATGCGACGTCGCGCACGCGGCAATTAGCGCGGTGCGGCGTAGCGCGCGCGAACCTGCTGTGCGTTGAGACTTATGAAAACTACTTCCCAGTGAATTAGATATGTAAGGTAATGAGCATGATTCGACCTTCTTTTGCTTGCACTTGGAATCTTCTTCCGGGGCTTTGCTCACGACCCCGCAAAAACGATTTTCCCCTTGCTTTTTCCACCAAAAACGACTTCCAGCTTGTCATTTGCCCACCTCGTGCCGGGCCCTGGTTCTGGTTGCTCTAAATATTCGATAAATCATTCGAATATTTATTCGAAATTCGACTTCCAGTGTTCGAATATATTCGATATTCATTCATTCGATATTTTTGACTTTCCGAATTTATTCGGAGCTCATTCATTCGAGAATTTTTGAACCTCGAATTTATTCGATATTCGTTTATTCGAAATTTCTTCCTTTTCGAATTTATCCGATATTCATTCATTCGATAAAAAATTTTCGAATTAACCAAGTATAGTAGCCCTTTGATTACGATTTTTATAAAGTAAGGTTACCCTCCAGTGAACAACTGAACCATACCACATATTTTTTCAAAGGATATTTTTTGAGCGACAAATTGACCTAAAGGTTTTCAATTTTACTTGGATGACGCTGGATTCTGAGAAGTTCAGTTAAAAATGATACATAGAAAACAATTACAACAATAAGGAGTGAAGCAAAAAGAAAAAAATCACCTAGTATGGTCAGCTTCTTGGATTTTGCAGAAGGAAAATTTCTGCTAAGAACGTTTTTATGAAACAACCGGATATCTTTATAAAGCTTTCATTCTCTGCCAATACCAATTCAAACAATGAAAATTGGCTTTTTGCGACAAAGGCATTTCTAGAGAGCTTCCCAAAGTTTGGGCTGGTCAGATCTTCACAGAAATGTTGAACTCTAGCTATGATAAACGTATTCGACCTCCTCATCGAGACGAGCGTGGTACGTTTTACCTCATTAAAAAACACTTCTCTGAATTCATAAAAAGTTTCAGGAAAAAATATCCCAGTGGATGTTTACGTAAACTTTTATGTGCGAAGGTAAATGTTTACGGCCCATGTGCAATGGGATTATCGACAATTGAACAAATATTTACAGCATATCAAACATCAATTTCGTTAAAATGGAATATGATTTGCAAATAACCTTTCGTCAGCACTGGAGTGACCCTCGCTTAGCATACAGATCCACATTTCGAGGCAGGCACGTGCCAAGGTATCTAATTATCACCGACAAAGACTCAATATGGACACCGGACACATTCTTCTTGGTAAATGGTGTAAGGATCTTACAACACAGTAAATAGTATAACCAGTATTCAGAACGAAAAGCGTGCTCATCGACACGACATTGATAAGTTGAATCTGATGATTCGAATTTACTCAAATGGTACCGTTATGTACTCTGAAAGGATATCTTTGACTCTCTCTTGCCCTATGTATCTTCAGGTATGACACTCACTCACTCGGTTATAAGATCTAGAGTATTCTAGGACGAAAATATTGGGGCGGCAAACTATTCTTTAAAAATCTGACAAAAGTCGGGCTGAGCCGGGGATCGATCCCGGGACCTCTCGCACCCTAAGCGAGAATCATACCACTAGACCACTCAGCCGCGCATAAACTTGCAACGTCACCTCTTATCTCACAATCGGAGACCTTCGTATCGTTTGAGAGTGACCTCTGCGCAACGAGTTGTCCATATATCTCTCAAGCGCACATCTGATAGATCGGCAAACAGTTGCAGAAAATCGTGCTGATGTTGGGAACTATTGCGAAAGCGAATTGATAATATATGTATGACTAGCTGGCTTACCCGGCTCCGCCGTATCCGGACCAAACTTGGCACACATACACTTCGGGCCCTGGCGGGTGTCACAGTCCACTTTTCGTTATCGATCGATGTCGATTTTACCGATTTTTATCGATTTTTTTGCAGAGTTCACCTACAGGGCTAGGAGTTGGCACAGGGGGGGAAGTGAGCATGGGGATTCCGAATACAATATTAGTTTTCAGAATTATCGATTACTTTTATTGATTTTATCGATTTTTTTTAAATTTTGACATGCGAGGCTGGGATTTTGCACAGGGGGGTAATCGAGCATGCTGATTACGAACACAATATTAGTTTTCAAGATCGTCCATTACTTTTATCGATTTTATCGAATTTTTTGCAAAGTTTGAGCTAGGGGGCTGGAATTTGGCACAGGGGTGTAATCGAGCATGCTGATCACCCCCCTTGGGAATGATCAGCATGCTCGATTACCCCCCTGTGCCAACTCCCAGCCCCCTAGCTCAAACTTTGCAAAAAAAATCGATAAAATCGATAAAAGTAATCGATAATCCTGAAAACCAATATTGTATTCGGAATCCCCATGCTCGATTACCCCCCTGTGCAAACTCCCAGCCCCGTAGCTCAAACTTTGCAAAAAAATCGATAAAATCGATAAAAGTAATCGATAATCCTGAAAAGCAATATTGTATTCGGAATCCCCATGCTCGATTACCCCCCTGTGCAAACTCCCAGCCCCGTAGCTCAAACTTTGCAAAAAAATCGATAAAATCGATAAAAGTAATCGATAATCTTGAAAACCAATATTGTATTCGGAATCCCTATGCTCGATTACCCCCCTGTGCCAACTCCCAGCCCCGTAGGTGAACTCAGCAAAAAAATCGATAAAAATCGATAAAATCGATATCGATCGATGACGAAAAGTAGCCTATGACACCCGCCGGGGCCCGTAGCGTATGTGTGCCAAGTTTGGTCCGGATCGGTTCAGAAATGGAATTTTCTATTCGGAACATACGTACAGACATACATACATACATACATACATACATACAGACAGACAGACATACATACAAACAGACATTCAGCTTTATATATAAGATTCAGCGGTATTCGATACAGTTGCTCTTTTTCTTTCCGTCTATCAAACTTTATAACTTTTTCCGCAATTTCATCTTAATTTAATTACGGTGCCTTTATCTCTTTGCTTCGCAAGAAAAGAAGTAGTGCTAAGCGTCTTACAGATTTCAATTTGCTTTCTGTCAAGCAGCCGAGGTATATTAAGAATGTTCTTCCTACTCCCTTCCCCCTCATCACCGTTTCTTTCTCTGATACATCTATTGCACCTCGGTGGGCTCAGCACCCTCTCGCTCGCTCGACTGCCTGCACATCCTGCACCATCTGCCTGTAAATCCCAGCGCCGATTAGCTATTCCAGCACGACCGCAGTACAATGACCCCACTATGCGACCACAAAACAAAACGACAGACGCGCGGTTAGAATTGATATTTCTTTTAACTACACAAAGGAATAGAAAATTTAAACTACAAGAGATAAAACACGGAACGAGACCGCCTCGCTCCATCTAGCCGATAATCATCCAGTGAATTCTAAGCGTGATATCAGGAATGACGAGGGTCGATCGCTTCGCTGTCATCGCGAAATATAGGTGCGACCGTACGACCTCCCTCTCCGCCCCGGTAATTAATTTTATAATGAGCTCCAAACTTCCCTCGCGCTTTAGCGCGCATGATCCAGAAGTTTCACCAATCATTTGCTCATCCATCAAAGGCAAGACTTCAGCCACGGAAGCTTACTGGGGGAGCGTCACGCACGATCGATAAGATTACATGAGTAAAAAGAAATTTCAAAACGAGATGACTGAAAATCAAATAGCCTATGCCGCGTTATGCGGCTTTATATACCGCTCAACTTGGCAACGCGCCCAGCAAGAACAGATTCGGGCGCGAAAACATAGCGCGCCTCATTCAGAGGCTTTCGGCACCTGAGTCGAGGAGAGGCTTGCTTCGCGCGAGCCGCGACAAATCCGAAATGGGTTTTTGGTATGTTCTACCCGCTGAGAAGAGATACTGAAAAAATCGGCCTGCCCATGAATGTTGATTACAATTACTGTCAGATCATACACAATTGTTTCAGAATTATCCTATGGACGAACAGATTTGTCAACTAGATTTAGCATCATACGCTTTTACCACGGACGATATAGGTTTGTTAAAGGCAGTACATCGGCAGAATGAGACCCGTGACAAAACAAGGTCACAGGGTAGGAGCCCCCATATGGAACCTATCGGCCAAAGTCCGATCTTTCTCTGCCACTTCTAACCCCCGAAATTTCAAAGCGAAAGCAGCGCTCATCTCCTCTCCTCTCCGAACCCGCCCACCCCATGTACGAGTGACTTCCGCGGTCAGAGCGCCAGCCGCAATGCTATAAGCATTGAGGTCCCGCAACGACTCTGCTCTTCGCCATGACGGGCTTCGCGTTCACTCGTCCATGGGGTGGGCGGGTTCGGAGAGGACAGGAGATGAGCGCTGCTTTCGCTTTGAAATTTCGGGGGTTAGAAGTGGCAGAGAAGATCGGACTTTGGCCGATAGGTTCCATATGGGGGCTCCTACCCTGTGACCTTGTTTTGTCACGGGTCTCATTCTGCCGATGTACTGCCTTTAAGGTCAAATGGCAAACTAAAAATAAAATTTTAACCTTAATGTCTTTTAGTCTATCACTGGCACACACCCGAGCCTATTCAGTTTCATCCTATGCTCAACACCTCACTGCCTTGTTTTACGATTGATCAGGCTTATACAACCACTTGTACGAGCATCACTACTACCGGAGAATACTCATGCATCAGAATGGTGTTTCACTTGAAAAGACTATTCAGGTAAGCTCAATTATACTTGCTCAAAAAATTTTAACCAAAACTTTTTTCAGTTATTACATGGCTCAGATTTATATTCCATCGTCATTGCTAGTGATAGTGTCGTGGGTGTCATTTTGGCTGGAAAGGACAGCTGTACCTGCACGGGTTACTCTTGGGGTTACCACACTTCTCACTATGACCACACAGGTAACCTTTGATTCAACTGTTTGGCGTCTGAGAGATCGTTGCTTACTCAAGGCCACTTGCGCGCGCGAAGCAGTCTGCGTATCTTCCGGCGTGTTCCCCCGATCATTACCTAGCGTAAAAGGCAGCGTCCAGGCAGATCTGGATTTATGGGGATTTTACGTGGAAATTAATCTTGGGGCCCTAACTAAGGCACTGCTCAAGCGGCAGCGCAGGTGACCCACCAACGGCTAAGATATATCAAACTGGACCCCAGAGTATCCGTATGGATTCATGGCAGTTTCGTGCGAGGACCCACGCATTGCGCCATGAATCCATGCGAAATACGGTCCCAGGGTCCAGTTTCGAGGGGGTGGAGGAACGAGCATCAATTAGGCACTTCTTCCGCGGACTACTGGTCCTAGCACGATGCACAACAGTAGGACGAAAGGACCAGCAGCCCTTGGAGGCGATGCCAATTGAGGTGTTTGTTCCTCTACCCGTTTCGAGAGGAACATCTCAGCCGTTAGAGCACTAACTGAGCTGCCGTTGGGCAGTGCCTTAGTTAGGGCCCCAAAGTTACTATCCACGTGAATCCCCATGTGTCCAGATTTGGCTGGACGCTGCCTTCAAGGGCACAGATGCATATTTGTAGAGCCCTTATTTCAATATCTCCTGATTTTCTTATCTCGCAAGTTTTTTTCAATATCCAAAGTACTTCCGTACTTGAACTTTTGTATTGAAATTGCCGCATATTCTAGGCTGCTTCTATCAACAGCAGTTTGCCAGCCGTCTCCTATATCAAAGCTGTCGATGTTTGGATTGGAGTCTGCCTCGCATTTGTTTTTGCTGCTGTGCTCGAGTTTGCTTGGGTTTCGTATCAAGGAAATCTATACAGTGAATGACCCTTAACTATTATATATGCTCCATCAAAAAAAAATGAGAAATGAACTTTTTTGCAGGTCCAGAACATTGTCAACCCGCAAAAAGTCCAACAAAGCTAGGCAAACAGCGAAAAGAGGCAAATCATGTACGAATGCTTTATTTTGTTTTGAATTCGTGGGGGTATATTTACTTTTAGGAAAACATTGATAAATGGGAAAGTATGAAAAACGAAGAAGAAGCGCTTTGTAGTGATGAACCAATACAAAAGAAATCCTTGACATGGTGGCAAAAATGGAAAAAGGGTGCCGATTCAGCCAAAATGATTGACTTAAGATCACGTAAGTCTTCATTCTTTATATAACCTCTCAAAATTTCATAAACAATTTTAGGGGTAATATTTCCGCTATTATTTCTTCTATTTAATGTCTGCTATTGGCCATGGTGTGCATCTCGATGAAAAGCTTTATCAGAATCACTACATATGGATTAAACATACAGGGTCACGGCTGCTCAATGAATACAACAGCATTTGAAATGCAAAAATGTTGAAAACTTCGATAAATGTTTGAAATTCTATCCCCCAAATTTTCTCCAGTTTCTGTACGCATTGACATCGATAGAAGCCTGAAAAAAAATGAGAAAAGATGTGGAAATGTCGTTGCATTGTTGTTAAAGGTAAAATCAGGTAAATTTTGGTCTAAATTTATCATGTGGAAAGTAAATAGATTTTAATTAAGTCAATGCGCAAGTGGCAGCCCATGTGCTCCATTCGTGGCCAAGAAATTCAGCTCTAAACTGCAGCCTAGTGCGTATTACCGTAAGCGCTAACGCTGATTGGTCAATCGGTAACGGCAGTAGAGCGCGAAATTTGAATCAAATTTTCCGGCTACCTATGCATTATGCCAGCTGTCGTTTGGGATTGCTAAGGGTTATCCACATAACGACTCCAAGCATCCAGATCCTCATCGTTGATACTGCATTCAAGCAATTTTTGTGACAAACTACTTTTATTTTACCCTTGATGCTAATTGTTTTCCAGGGTGTGATATTCTAATTTTTTTCACAATGCCCGATGAAAAATGAAAAATATCGTACTTGCAACGATTGAATATCTAATTGCAAACCTGTGGCTTATATCTGGCGTTGAAATTTGCCCATTCTGCTCTCGGTGGAGAATATGCGATGACAGTCACAGGCAAAACTTTTCGGTCTACTTGTTTAGGACGCGATACAAGTAACATATAGCCTTTGCTCAAAAAGTAGAATCGGTCGGACAACGGGATCTGCAAAAAAGGAAAATCATGTACCATCAATTTCTCAAAAGGAACAAAAACAATTTGACAGCAGTAAGATCAGAGCTATTTGAATGAAATTTCTAGCTAGAAAAATTTGCTTTGCTTCATAAAAACCACCATCTTTTCCTACTGTTTTGATTGGACAACCGGACAATCTCTGATCAAAGCTCAAATAAACTGAGAGGCCTTGAAGTCACATTCTGCACAAGAGAACATCCGGATACTGTAGATATACCGGAAAACTTACAGAAGCACCTTTCTGCTGCACAAGGCGGCACATTTCTCTGGCTCTATTTGCGCAGTCAGATGAAAATCTTTCTGGCTTTCCCATTAAAGGAATGCTCACAAATGAGATTTTCGTTTCTTCCGCCATACCGTACCTGAATTACAACTTCAGGACTATTGGAACAAGTAAATAAGAGCGATTTTCCAAACACGACGAGCTATTTCACGCTATGACATGGTCACCATAGTGGTGCAAGCTAATTGTTTTTTTTTTTGAAAAGCAAGTGTTATAAAAAATGCTATCAGAAAAAACAGAACTATGACTTTTGTTCATTGCACTGTGATGCTGTTACTCAGATTTAGAGTAAAATACATATGCCAGAACTAGTACTGAAAGAAATGTAATGGTATACAAATAAAACCTACACCTTTTATGGTACTTTTGTTCTAAACCTACGCTCAATTTTGTGTTTGGCTTTACCTATTCGAGAAACTTCGATGAGAAAACAGCAGAAAAGAGGTCAACATAATTACATTCGCTTCATTTCATATGATCATGTCTGCCATTGCACAAACAGTCCATTTTGGCGTCCTCATCCTGGATTTGCAATCGCAAAAACGCAAGAGACTTACCGATTGTTATCGATTACATAAATTTGAGGTGGTTAGTAACTAAAAAGGAAAGAAAATGCTAAGAACACCTTGGAAATACTTACCTAAAGGCATGTTTCTCCCACGAATCCAGGATGGGGACGCCAAAGGTGAACTGTGTGTGCAATGACACACATAATCATATGAAATGAAGCGACTGTAAGCGCGCAAATAAATCTGTCCGTTTACACCAGCAAACAAACAAACAACCATTTCAGAAACAGTTGCCTTACTTCTAATTTGCAGCTTCGTCGTACAAGATGAAGAAGCACTATTTTCAGCCTTCGCATTATGTAATTGCTTATAAAAGAATTTTTATTGCTTTAATAATGCGAAAATCAAGTCCACATTCTGACTCAAAAGATCATTATTGTATAAAAATGTTTGTTAAGAAGGGTTCGTATTATTGAGGCCTTAACTTCCTCTTTCTATCAGCTTAAGAATCTTAGTTTGAATCAAAACTAGGGCATGAAAGAGAGAGAACTTCAAACTCATCTGACTGGTACGTGCTGATAGCTCTTTATGATTGCTCATAATCCTGTATTGCTCAAATAAAGAGCATGTTTTGAGCTTCACATCTACCCAGTTGAACTCGTCATTGGTAAAAGCTTGAAAAGAATTTTTTGCAAAAAATCACAGAAAGTCGATCAGTTTCCAAAAAGACTACTTATGCTATGTACTGTTGTAAAGGAAAGTGATTTCCGATTAGCAGTTAAAGGCTACTGCATGACGAAGGCGCAGAAGCAGTATTAGTCAAGCGGACGCGAACGCGGTGAGGGCGTATCTTCACCGTTGTAAAGTCTGAGTCTCATGCACTCTGTGTGTCTAATAAAGCCGCGTTCTCGCTCAAAGATATTACGCCTTCGTCCGCATGAAAGAGAATACCATAAACTACAGCTGGTTTAAGAAGTCACCTTTGCCTCCATATTCTCACTATCGAATTCCAAATCAATTTGTCAATGTAAATCTGGGAATATGGACTATTGCACATCATACATTTACTTCTAAATTTCCTCAAGGAATAGCTTTCCAAATCTGGATGTGACTATACTATGTTCAACAATTTCAATGTAATCAGCCTGTCTTAAAGGCAGTGGCTCGGGTTCTGTTCCTCCTTAGCTCTCTCGATACGTTTAGACCAGAGCTGTGCTTGAAAAGTCAAAAAAAGTGCTTTTTATGGCGTTTCCGGCCTTGAAGATGCTGAGGAGGCGGGAGCGAAAATTCCCGCCAAAACAGTGATTGGCTGCATGCGACTGTAACACCAATCAATTTGGCGGCAATTGGCTGATTGACCTAGGCAGCCAATAGCGACAACGACAAAAAAAAGCAATTTTTTGACTTTTCAAGCACAGCTCTGGTCTAAACTCGTCCACAAAACCAAGGAGGAACAGAAAGCGCGCAGTTGAAATTTTTCCGAGCCGCTGCCTTTATAGCCAGTGTCTCGGCAGAATTGACTTACCGTGGAAGATAAAAGGAGGAATTAAGTGGAAGTAAGCGGTGTACCATCCCACTTTGAACAACTAAGAATCTCACGATCTTCGACGCTGCTTGCTTAAAAGGGAGGGGGAGGGGGGGGGGCGGAATTCTGATTACGAAAATCATGCTGGCCTCTGCACTATAGGTACCTTTCTGAGGGATTACGTTAGGTATGCGCTAAGTCAGGCTCCCAGAATTTGCAGTGACTCTGCGTAGAGGGACCCCTTGACTTGCTGACTACAAATATCATGTGCATTTATTCAAATAAAGCTTCACTGTGTGCCTAAACTTTAGTACCAAACCAAATATGGTCGAGTCATGTGTAACTTAATATGCTCATCAAACACCATGCGCGCTTCATTACAGGTTAAACTTGACTTCTAAGATGTTCTTCATGTTTGTTATCCAGTCTAGCTTAAATGATATAAGTACAGTACACAATTCTACAGTTTGTTCCGCCAGTAAATGTTCTAGAGACGGGTTATCACTAATGGGCAGGGCATACTACTTCACGCGATTGCAGTTGCGACGCGATTTAACATATTCCAACCGTCCATAACTTACTGTAAGACATGCTAAATGTGCAGAAGATAGGGTTTCTTATCAATCCATGTAAGTTGCACACACTATGCATGTGCAGTTTGCTAGTGTTAGATCTGAAGACTTCTGGCAAATTGCCAAATCGCGCCGTGACTGAAATCGCTTAAAGATGCCCGACCCTTAAGGTGCGTCGGTAAGTTTACGAATGACTTGTCGATACTTAACATAAATACATTATGCACCACTATCTTAAAAGCAATGGCTCGGGAAAATTGCGACTGCGAGATTACAAACCTACATGGCCTTGTAGATGAGTCCAGTGCTATGCTTGATAAGTCAAAAAAGTGTTTGTTACGGCATTTTCCTACCATAGAGAGAGCTGAAGGGGATGGGCAAGGGATTCCCGCCGTAAACAGCGATTGGCTGCAGGAGACTGTAACTCCATTCTGGCGGTAATTAGCTGATCGGCTCAGGCAGCCAATTGCGATGTTGGCGGGAATCCGTCGCCCATCCCCTCCAGCTACCTACAGGGTAGGAAAACACCATAAAAAGCACTTTCTTGACATTAGAAGCACAGCAGTGGACTTACCTCATCCAGAGAGTCATGTAGTTGTGCAAATTAGAGATGTTGACCTCATACCGTATGCCTTCCGTAACTCTAAAATGATCCAAATTGACATCGCTTTCATAAGCATGCCAGATAACCTGCTGGACCAAGCTGTAACAAAATTCGAAACCTCGAAAATTCGCAGAAGTTACTTAGGTTGGTTTTGCTTTTGATGATGAGGTATGAAATGAACCAGAAGGATTTACGATACAAAGAGCGAAAGTCAAAAAAAATGATAGTAATGAGAATTGGGTGGATGTGATGCTGGATAGAGGTATCTGACAATGATAAGAAAGCCATACGCATGTCTTGCACGCACAAGCCACAACGTGTCAACTGACCTATGTAACATGTTCGAACCTGCTGTCTATATAGGCTCAACGTGCAAAACTTGTCAAAAATCCATTTATGCGCTGAAATTTGCACTTATAAGGGAAAGGGGTGTATGTATGTCGAAAGGCGCGCAATTCGGTATCCGTCATTGCCAGACTGAATCCGTTTTCTACAAAAGCAAGGTTTCCAAACCCCGAGATTTTTGTCATTTTATCAGAAAGTGTTGTGAAGAATGACCAGCTGAAATCCGAAGGTACAAATTGAATTGGAACTTATTTCTTGCCTCTACCAGTTAGTAACAATCGATCAATATGCGCCATTCGACCGTCTCACTGAGGGAAAGCAATACAATAATGGGTTGGAACTCGAGTTAGCTTTTTCTTCTTGAATTAGTAGGTCGTAGGAATAGGTTAAGAAAAACTCTTTATACATAATTTGCTATTAAGTTTACGATTAGCTTGGTTCTGTGTTTTCACTTCGATATCAGATCTGGGACTTATTGTTATCGATACGATCATGTTTCTAATTTTTATTGTTTTAATTTTTTTTACTTCAAAAATTGTTGGTAGTGTACATAGCTAGTTACAAATTTTGCTGCACACATTCTAGTTATACAAGCTCACCCAAATTGTGTATGAACCTTTCTTTCACGCGCACAGTCTCATTTGTAATACAATGTGTGTACCTGCACACTAAGCTGTGCACCTTACGACATGCATGCTCATGTAGCTGCCAATTCCCAGAAAACTCTCCTTTTTCTTATTCTTGGGCATACCCCTGAGAACATTCGTGGGTATATTCCTTAAATATGCTTCATAACACGGTTCTAGCCACTATTTTTGAGCAGGACGTGGGGGTGGCCGGTGTTGTGCGCAAATCCACATAGGGGTTACAGCAAATTCCTATGCGCGACCTTTTGCTAAATCTCCTTAGAAATTGTGGGAAATTCTTAGATTTCAAAAAACCTTTTGAGAGGTTTTGGAGGCCAGTCTATAGTAACGACTGCTAGAATTCGCTCCCTATGCTTTAGTTTACTTTATTTTGCTTCTCGCTGGTTTGACTAACAATAAGTTCCCCTTATATTGTAAACATTTGCACGAGAATTAATCCTCAAGAAATTTGGCAGCCTCTGCAAAGAGAAGAGTGCACCATCAGCGGTGCAAGATGCCTCGCGCCATGTTTTGACATGCGTCCTTTGCAAAAACTAATAATATCACGCCTACTCAATTTGCAGTCTGCAATATCATCAAGTGCACTAGAACACGTACTTGACGTCACTTTCCCTCGGCTCTTTTTGCCAAAAACATAGATCTGAAAGGGAGTGGAGATCGTTGAGTGGCTAAGCATAGCTGCTACGCCTGATTCCATCAACGAGGTTATCGTCAAGAGGAGCCTAACAAGCAGCTCAGTCGTCTTCCTTCAATAGCCATTGCTCGCCGTATGTCGTTCGTGTCAAATTCCCATTGCTATGATGTCATTGTGGAGAGGGAGGGGGGAGGAGGGGGAAGGGGCGATAGGGGTGGGGGGGGGGGGGGGGGGGGATTTTTAAGATCACTAAGGAATAAGTGCTCTGTATCACCAAGAAATAAGTGCTCTGTATCTTCAATCACTCACTTTATTTGCCCTCCCCCCCCCCCCCATATGCAAGTCATTGAATCTTTAGTCGAGTAAGTCAAGAGTAAACCTTGATCAAGAGTAAACCTTCTAAGTAGACCCATTTAGATAACCTCCACTATTATTTTGTATTGACAGTCAAGAAGAGTGTAATAGAGTAACCAAGAAACCAAACAAGAAAGGGGCACGCTGATTCTATTGAAAATGTAAGAGCATTGGAAGTTTGAAAGGTGCTCTGTGGGTCCTTTAATTTTGACATAGTATGATAACTTCGGTGTAGGAAGAGAACGTAAACAGGAAAAGATCTAAGCACTACGCAATGGGTTAATTGACTGAAAGACTAGTTGTAAGAAGTAAGTAGTTAACTAGTTAATTAACTAGTTGTAAGTTTCCAGTGATTTTTTGACTACTCAATTTACTTGCTTAAAACTTAGTGTATAGCTAAGTTACATATATATAAGTTAGTAGTTATACTAACTAGTTACAGTACTATTACTAACTTAACTTACTAACTTACTTACTTAACTAGTTACTATTACTAGTTATTCTTACTAGTTACATATATATATATATACATATATATAGTTATGTATATATACTTATACTTATATCTAAGCACTACGCAATGGGTTAATTGACTGAAAGATTAGTTGTAAGAAGCTACACACTAAGTTTTAAGCAAGTAAATTAAGTAGTCAAAAAATCACTGGAAAACATCTA